TATATTTGCTCAACTCTGGCGTTATATTGGCGTTATATTGAAGAGAAGATGAACTAACGGCAAATGCGTTATATTTGGCGTTATATTTATTATACAGATCCTATTTTTAGGAGCACAACATTAAAAAACAAAAATAAAAACGTTTTAGGATAATAATCATGATTATTATCTTAACGTTTTATTTTTTTATTGTTTAAAATTTAAAAATATTTATATATTTGGTTGATTAACGTTATATAAATAAACTTTAGACATTGTTGTAACTATTTTTCAGTTTATTATAATAATTTTATTTCATATTATATGTCCTAAACCTATACATAATTTAACTAAACATATTCAGTTAAAATATTTATAAAGTGCATAACTGCACTTTATAAATATTTTAACTGATGTTGATGATAAAAAAGTCTGTATAATAAAAAATGCCATTAAAAAGAATATAAAATAAAAAGTTTAATAAGCAAAGAACACCTTAATAATTTATGGAATAAAAACTCGTATTAAAACATACGTGTAGATTTACCACTGATACTAAATGCTGTTGGCACTAAAGACTACAATATAAAATAAGTAATGACTAAAAAAGACATCTTCTCATACTAAGTCATTTATATAATTTTATTTATGATTTTCGTATATCATTTATAAGTCATATCAATCATTTTGAAAAGATTTAACTTTACCATTGCTTCCAGATGTCATTAAAGACTAAAAAATAGAAAAGATAAAAAGCACAAAAATATCTTTAAAATGTATTTCATTTATAATGATTTGAAAAATATATAATCAGTGAGATTATCATTGGAAAAAAAGTTGTCATCACCTAAGAACACGTCTTAAAAAAGGGCATAATATAAAATCATTTAATTGGTTTTTAAAAACTATTTTGAAAAGATATAACTTTACCATTGCTACTTGATGTTGATGCCATTAATAAATACAAAAAACAAACAAGCAAACAACCCCTTTAAAATTTATGGAATATATACTTGTAGTGAAAAGATGTAAATTTACCACCGGTACCAGATGATGATGATACAAAAGTCTGTATAATAAAAAGGTTGATAAGCAAATGACACCTTTAAAATTTATGAAATATTTAATTGTACACACTAAAAAATTATGCTGTTATATTGAACAAAAATATAACAGCATCGGGACACGATATAACAGCATAAATGGCGTTATTTTGTGTCATTATGGTGTTATTTTTCTAACTGCCGTTATAAAATGCCGTTATATTTATTCAAATAACAGCAAAAATAACAGCAAAATGCTGTTATTTTATTATAAATAACAGCAAAATGCTGTTATATCGTTACCCAATGGCGTTATATTTGGCGTTATATTCAAAAACCTAGCTAACGGCATAATACCGTTATATTTTTTTAAACATGTTTTGTTTTTATTCAAGTAAAATCTAAAGTAACCATTGATATGTGTACATTATATATCTAATTAATAGCAATTATTTGAAGTATTTAATATTATAATTACTTATAATGCAATTATTACTAGTAAGGCATAAAATATATATTAGAAATTAATTTTTATGTATACAATGAAGAAATAAAATCATTTTAACATAATTTTAAATAAAACATGATAAATGTACCTTGTAAAAATAATTTCATATTAATGATAAGAATCTACAAATAAATTTTTATGCAACTGCTCAAACCAAAATTTTTAAAGATGTGTCAATAAATACGAAGTCAAAGCTTTACAAAATCAATTATTTCAAAGAAAGCTTTATATCCCAACTTGTTTACTTTTTTAAAGTAACAACTTAAATATAAAATTAAACATTTAATAAAATAATAAAGTAAACAATAAGCGTTACTTAATAACATCAAAAAATTTAGTCAACTGTTTATATGAGAAATATAAGAGCAAGTCTTCTTTGATTTTTTTTCAAAGCATTCATTTAGCAACATCTCTTGGAAAAGGCCCATCAGTTGTGAAAAAGAAGATGGATAAGAGAGATCTAACAAATAGTATATGCAAACAATAACGCATAAAACCTCTTTAATTGTACGTAAATCTGTGTTGATCATTTCGCATCCTGATCTACTGCGAACGCCATATTGTATTGAATTATACAGAACTTGTGGACCGTACTTTGCAGGTATCTTCAACTCATCGAGCAGATCATCAGACTTAAAAAAAACAAATCAAATTTTAATTAAATAATTTCCAGAAATTTAATTCAATTCAGGTATTTTCCAAATATTTTAAAAGATTTCGTTGTATCAGATAAAAATCATTACTATTCTATAAAAATAACTAAACAGGTTTGATTTTAATATTTTCAGCTACTACTATGAATTTTATTATTTTCAGATTTTAATCTATTTTTGCATTATAATTCATGTATTATTTAAATGCTTTATACTAAGTTTATACTGAAATGTACATCTTGTATAAATATTTGTTTTAAACAAATAAATTCTACATTAAGCAGATTATTTAATACAAAAAGAATGTAGACATTTTCAGAAATTCATTATATGAAATAATTAAAAAGAATTGAACAGGTCCATAAAATATTTAATGTTACTTACTTCAGATTTCTTAAACAAGACATCCTTTGCTTTTTTGGAACATATTTTGCATTGTAAATCAAGCAAACTTTCAAGGTGATTTGAAGATCCTGCAAATGCTTTATTAACAAAAAACGTACACGCTTCTTCGATACTATACTGAGGGTAAAAGCGCTTAAACTCACCAATTATTAAACATGGAGACAGTGACAATCGAAGCGGGAGTTTTTCATATACTTTTGGTTGAAAAAGATTTCTGTTCAAAATTGCGAGAACACTAATAGATGGTTTTGATTTTATCAGTTCATTCTAAAAAATATTAGGTTGAAAATACTGTAAAATCTAAAATAAACAATAAGGTGCACATAATCACTTAACCAACAAAAAATTATATATTATAAAATGTATAAAATACCATGCTTTGGTGCGTTGTGTATATAATCAGTCATAGTATTAAACTGGTTTTGAAACGCAGGCCATTTTTCATAGATTTCATAGAATAACTTGAACTTTATAAGGTGACTAGACTAAGAGTGCATCAGATCTTTTTAAAATGACTTTTTCTAGTGCAGACTTTGAAAATTTGAATGAACTCAATGCTGTTTTAGCTGCTATTGAGTTTCTATTTGTTGGAAACAGACCTCAAATATAATTGAAATATTAGATTACCTAGTTTATTTTATCCTCACCAAACCTAATCTAAAGTAGGCTGAGCACTAGTATAAAGAGGAACTTACGTGTTATAAGAGAATGGCCTGCGTTTCCAGACTGTTTAAATACTATGACAATGGTTTAATGTATACTTTATAAAATTACTTTATATAGTATACATTTTACAATTTTATAAAGTATTTTTAATCATAAAAAAGTATTAATTAGTGAAAAAAAAAATATAATTATTAATTAGTAAAATATTTAAAGTATTGCTAATCATACTGCTGTCCAAATTAAGTTAGCATAATAATTAAACTAAAAATATTACCTCAACTTCAAGAAGAAGCTGGTCTTCTGAAAGCACTGGTTCAGCTTTAGATAATGAATCCATGATATACGGAGACCTTTTAGGTTTTGAAATCTGCTGAAACTGTCTACTTACTGATCCATTTGAAATTGGATGACTTTTAGTCCAACGTTGTTGCCTAATTATGTTTAATACCTGGCTTAAAAGCGAATCCTAGGAGAATTTATTTTCAAAAACTATATCACTTAAGGGTACATAAATAAATACCTATTAAATACAACAACAATGAAAGCACTATATGAGCTGGTGAGAATCAGCATGGTGTAAGTTAAAAAAAAAAAAATGAGTAAAGTCAATATTCATGACTACAAAGCATCATTCTGTTAAATTTGAGACTGGTGTAGGGTGTAAATTTATATAAAGAAACTGGCAGCTTTTTCTTTTAGTTTGTAGGGTTTTCTCTACCATAAATCTGAAAAAACCTTTAAAATCTTAAACTGGGAAAATGTTGACTTACACCATGGTGATTCTCACGAGCTCATATGCATGCAGCGTAAACACACCTAAACAAATATTGTAGGGCCATTAAAGAAATTCTTACCCAGTGTTCCAAGCAGTTTGGAAAATTAAAAAGTAGTGTTGACTTAAGTTTGGAAAAAAACTCTCTCCGAACCCATGGATCATTGTCTGAAGGAAGAGCAACTTGACAATATTGAAGAATATTATTTTTCAGCTCTTTTTTTAAAATATCATTTGTCGCAACATTGTTTAAAAAGTTCAAAGTAGATGTATTAAAAAAAGTCCTCAGGTGAGAAACTTCATCAGAATCAAAAGGAACTGTTGAAATCTGATAAAATAAAGGTTTATTTAAACAGTAATTTCATATTTTAAATTTTTTTAATGTATTTTTGCTGTAAAAACTACAAAATTATCATAAAATTAACAAATTATTATAATGTGCATTAAAATGTAAATTCATATACATATATCAAAAAAAATTTAGATTTGGCACTGCTAAAGGGAAAATATTGATTTTGCCATTCACAGAACTTGAAGAATTAGAATATTGGATGGTGCACCAAGGAAATATCAAAGTATCTGGATATATGACAACTTGTTCTGAAGATTCATAGCATATCAAATATGCTGAGTGTGCTTGTACCATAAGTTTAGAGCATTTAAAAGCCCGCTTGTCATTTTCTGATGATATTGAAAAGATTTTGTAGAATATCAACTTTTCTTCATGTAGGCATGAAATAATATCACCAATCTTGTAAATTATACCATTTACCTTAACAGAAATAATAGAGCCTTTCTTAAACTTTAACTCGTCCACTTGTCCATATACATCACCCCGTCTTTTTCCAGCTGCATTAAAAAAATTGCTTGCTGTATTAATAATCATCGTTTTACATGCTGAATATGGAATGTTCTTGAAGTTGAAGTGTCGAAAATTCTTCACAACTTGATGTTTTCTTTCATAAGCCATACACATATGTTCCTGTAGAGCCCCAAACTGTTTAGCTTGAGCAGGGTAGTGAATAAAGAAGTAACTTTGGAATGAATTTATTAGGATACAAACACAAAAATAAGCGATGATGATCTTGAATTAATGCTTTTAAATCAGATAAAAAAAGGGGAGTAACAATAGGAGACAAACACAATTGAAGCACTTGAATAAGTTTTGACAAACACATGAAATGGGCATCTGCTTGATCCATGTGCTCCAAGATAAAAAATGATATAACACGAGAAAGAGTCAAAGTTTGCCCACTGCTGAAACAACCATGAATCTGTATTGATGAATGTATCATATTAGGTTTTTCAATACCATTAGCATAGCTAAACCCTTGCAACCAATCATTGATTTCTTGCAGAGTGAAAAAATTGTTTTGAATGGCGTATGACAAAAATAATTCTAACTGAAGTGGAATGAGACCTCCGAACAAATCGTGCATAGGATCAAATAAAAGTTGTTTTGTCACATCAAATCCTGGAATGTTTGATAGTATACTTTTTGAAACAATGCCATAGTATTTAGACCATTTTAACTTATCAGGTTTGCTTAAACCAGAATTTAGTTCTGTTACACGTGTCATATGTTCAGCAGCATTTCGAATATTGCATTCTTCATGGTTAGAAAAATCTTTCATTTGTTGTCTGGTTGAGTTACAACTTCTGCAACAGCGAAATGTCTTTGCACTAAAGCCTTCTTTAAAACCTCCAATCGCATTTGCAGAAAGAGAGTCACCTGAGAAGTATACCACTTCAGCTGTAATTTTTTTAGAAATACCCATAACTTTAATAACAATTCCATTTTCCAGCTGGCTTATCGAAGAAATAAAATCACTAAAAAGAATGCTGTAAAAATTTTTATCTTTTACCCATTTAGTAAGAGTAAAAATTAATGGAAAGATAGTAGATATTCTACCGCGATACAATGAAGGGATGTTTTTGGTCTTATTCAGACCAATTACTTTTGGAGTTGGAGCCTGTAAATTATTCTTGTAATACTTTTCCCTTAAATATTGTGTTGACAGTTTATCACAAGTTGCTTTTAAAGCTTCTATGTCAATATTAAATACAGAAAGCATCGCCTTTAAATTACTGAAAATTATGTTTAAAACATTTTGAGCACATCTGTACTTTCCTTGTAAATGTAATGCCAAAGCTCCTAAATAATCTTCGTTAATTTTTGTGATACCAACTTGATTTACAACCTTGTTTTCTATTTCATTTTCAATAGTACAGATATTGTTCTGATTTTTGGAACATTTTTTGGAATGCTTTAGAAAACCTGAATAGCTTTTAAATGTTGACAAACAAATTTCACAAAAAACGGCTGCTTGGTTACCATGCAGTTTTAAGTGATGAAGCATATGACTATAAGTTGTAGTTTTACAATAGCAAATAGAACAGTTATAGTTTATTACCTTTTGTGGTGTCTTGGGGGTGTTTTCAGATACACCATTTTGTGCAACTGATGAAGATAGTTGTTTTACTGGAGGCTGGATAACATAAACACAACTCTCTTCAGCCATATATTGGTTTTCCGAGTTCCGACTTATTTTCTTTGGTGGTACCACAAAATCTACATAATCATTTAAAAGAGATGAAAATTGGCATAATGGAGATGATTGAGCTGTGTCAGCTTTATTTAAATCAGGTAAAAACCCAACTTGTTGAGAGTTGGGTATATTAACAAGCTGTGGAGCTTAAATAGTAAGCTCTAAATTTTGTTCATTAAGAAGAGCAGTAAAGCTATTAGCAGTTACTTTACAGCTGTTCCACTTGACTTCTTCAATCATGGGCAAATTAAGGGTTTCACGAACTAAAATATAAAAGTATGTAAATACAACTTGGAATCATTGACAATCGTCTTTACATTACTACTAATTCAAATCATTACACTAAAAAAGGAGTGCTATATCACTGAAATATTAGTCAATAAAAATTATTCATTAAAGTCATTAAAATTATATATAGTTTTATTTTAACAGTTTGAAGAAAGTTGTAAGGTATTTTTAGATTTTGATTTAAAATGATACTATGACACTTGACTTTTATAATAACATGCACATTAATTAGTTATAATATATTATAACTATTTAGTATTTTTAATGCTTATAATAAATGCTCATGCATCTCAATAAAATAAAATATACCTACCAGCTGCACAAAATTCAAAAAAATTACTGCTGCAGGCAATAACTATTTCAGAGTTTTCTTTAAAATTAACTTTAATTGCTTTCATTTTTTTTTTCACTTTTACCACCTCGTGCTATTGCTTTAGAAACTAACGTGTCAGTTTCAAAACTTCTTATTTTAATATTCCAAAATGTGGCAGCATTGCAATAATATTTTGCTTATATATTTGCTGTCACGTGTGACATCAAATATAACAGCAAGTATAAATGCAAAACCATCAGTAAAAATAACAGCAAATATAACAGCAAACATCTTTAAATATAACACTATAATATAACACCATAATATAACGGCAAACATAACACCAAAATAACGCCAAAATTGTTTTGCCTCTACCATTTTTTTTGTATCCGTGAATATAACAGCATATCCGTGAATATAACAGCATAAATAACGGCATAAAAGAATCAGCGTACATAAATGCTGTTATAATGCTGTTAGTTTTTTTAGTGTGTACTAAAAAGATAGGTGTAACTTTACCACAGATACAAAATGTTGTTGCCAATTGAAAATTATTTAAAAAGTTTAATTTAAAAAGTCATTAAAACTAATTTTAAAAAGACAGGCATTGTTTTAAGTGTTAAGCGTAGAGCTATTTACTTATGTAATATAAATTGCTTTTAAGCAGTAAATGATTTTGGTTAAGCAATTTCAGTAAGCATATTTTTTTTAAACATTTTAAAAATAATATTAGTAAAAAAATTGCTTTACCAAAACGTGAATAGCTCTACGTTTAAAACAATGCCTGAAAGATGTAACATACAACATTATTATTGTTACAAGATGTTATTGATACTAAAAATTTTTTAAAATTAAAATGTACTATTACCTAAACCAGTAGTAACATCTGCAGACACAGGTACTATTTTTGTTATAATGCAGTAAATTTTGTTTCAGTAACATCCAAGCCATTTCAAACCGATAATTTTACTGACTTTGAATGTTAGACAAACTAAAAAATATAATTATATATATATATATATATATATATATATATATATATATATATATATATATATATATGTTAGACAAACTAAAAAATATAATTATAAATATATATATATATATATATATATATATATATATATATATATATATATATATATATATATATATATATATATCCAAGCAACTATTATACGACTATTTTGATTGATATCAATAACAAGTATTACTGGTTATTGGTATCAATCAAAATAGTTGTGTTATATCATGTATCATGATATATATATCTTATATATCATATCTTATAATAAGATATCACATGTAATATATGTGATGTGATATCTTGTATATGTGATATCTTATTATAAGATATGATATATAAGATATATATATCATGATACATGATATAACACAACTATTTTGATTGATACCAATAACCAGTAATACTTGTTATTGATATCAATCAAAATAGTCGTATAATAGTTGCTTGGATATATATATATATATATATATATATATATATATATATATATATATATATATATATATATATATATATATATATTTATAATTATATTTTTTAGTTTGTCTAACATATATATATATATATATATATATATATATATATATATATATATATATATATATATATATATATATATATATATATATATAATTATATTTTTTAGTTTGTCTAACATTCAAAGTCAGTAAAATTATCGGCCTTCATATTTTTTCTTATTTTAAATTATTCATATATTCATTAAATTTAATAGTTATCACTTAAGCATTATTTTTCAGCGTTTGATCATAGTCATAAGAAATATATAGTCTGGAAGCAAACAAAAGCTTTGTTTATATATGTGTATATATATGTATATATACACATATATGTATATATATACATATATGTGTATATATATGTATATATACACATATATGTATATATATATATATATATATATATATATATATATATATATATATATATATATATATATATATATATATATATATATATATATATATATATATATATATATAAACAAGGACACTTTGAGCATTTGTGCATACATTTTTTTTTTTCGTTTTTGTACTTGACACGTAAAGTCAATTTGTAGACTCATAACAATTTATCATACACTGACCATATTCGAACAGAATAATCTTTAAATAATACAACAGTTTTTGTGTACTTAGCTCAATTTGATCAAATGTTGTACTTAACACTTCTGTGCATAGTGCCATTGATATATATCTATCTAATTGTGTCAATGAATTTAAATCATTGATATATATCTATCTAGTTGTGTCAATGAATTTAAAAAATGTTTAAATGATTTTTGCCCCTTGATAATCTAGAAATAGAGAAATATTTACGTGTTTACACAAGAATTTCAAATAAAATATATCAATTAGGTTTTTAATTTTGTTAGACTTGACTATATAGAAAAGCAATTAAAGAAATAAATTTCCTAGATACAATGTTAAACTACAAAAATATTAAGCAAAATATTTGTAATATTAATTTATAAATGCTAAATTTTTTGTCATTTTCAGAACTTTTTAAACAAACAAAAATTTTTTTTACAAAGATTTGAAAAAACCATTTTTAAAATATATTTTAATTTAATATTTTCAATTGGCAATTTAATAAAAATCTCACTCAAAGCATATCCAGTCTAAAATGATTTTGATATCATAAACAGTAAAGTAATTTCAGAATTTTGAAGCTAGTGAAATAAAGCTAACACTTAATATTCATAATAGTTAAATGTTTAAAAACATCAAACTTAAATACATATGCTTATACAACCAAAATTGCACTATGGTCCTAAAATTTATACGCAACATAAAAAGTAAAGGTAACTTGGAAAATTTACTCACCGTTAATAAAAATTACTTCTTATTAGTCATGAATAGTAAAATCCAATCATTGAAAAAATATTTTCTTTCCCAGTATGTCAAAGAGCAAAATTTTTCTACCAAATTTCAAGCTTTTGTGTCAAAGAACAAAAAATCAATCAACATTAGTATTGATTTTTGATCTATTGACACAACACAATAAACCATTTTACAAACATCTGGAAAAAAAAGTGAAGATAATTAAATAACTTATTATATAAAATCATATCATATATATATATTCTGAAAAATAATTTCATGGATATTTACAAATAGTAATTCGACTAATATACTACTAGCTATATATATATATATATATATATATATATATATATATATATATATATATATATATATATATATATATATATATATATATATATATATATATATATATATATATATATATATATATATATATATATATATATATTATATATATATATATATATATATATATATATATATATATATATATATATATATATATATATATATATATATATATATATATATATATATATATATATATATATATATATATATAATTATGTGCAATATGCAATTTACTTTGATATATATTATTACAATATATATCAAAGTATATTACATTTTGACAATTTTAAAATATATTTAACAAAATAGAGTGCTTTAGAGTGTTCTTAAAAGAACAGAGCAAGTATAAAAATCTACTATGCAAAACTAAAGTAGTAGTGAATATGTTTATATATATATATATATATATATATATATATATATATATATATATATATATATATATATATATATATATATATATATATATATATATATATATATATATATATATATATATATATAATCTATTTTACATAGCTGAAGTAGTTATAAATAAGATAATATATATATATATAATATATATATTATCTTATTTATAACTACTTCAGCTATGTAAAATAGATTATATATATATATATATATATATATATATATATATATATCTTATTTATTACTTTTTTAGCTATGTAAAATAGATTTTTAAAACTAAATAATCTTTTCTTAACAGATTAGAAAAATAATTAATACAAAAAATTTTCAAAAACTATATAAATTAAATCTTAAAACCAGTCTTCAGTTCAAACTCTTAAAGAGATATAGTTTTGTTTATCTTTCTGTGCACCTTCAGCGGGTCGTTGATACGAGTTTCAACATAAAACGGCAAAACAATGGAAACGGCCTTTATTTCCAGACTATTTATTCTTATGACTATGGTTTGATACAAGAAGGAACTAAGAACGAAAAAATATAACGCATAATATAACGGAAAATATAACGGATGAATATAACGGATGAATATAACGGATAGACTTCACCATTTGTAAGGAATTGATCAAGCATACACAAATTATGACGCACACAAAAAAATATAACGCTAATATAACGGATAGTGTTCACTTTTCTCAAATTCATCCGTTATATTGGCGTTAGTTTTTTAACAGTGTAACCATTTAGAAAAAAATACATATAATGTTTTCGCCGTATAAAATCGCATGCATCATTTAACTTGTAAAAATCATTATTAGAGACTAGAAGGACATCCGCGGATTGTTAACCAAATTTATTTTGATAATATACATATTGAAAAATGTGTTTTTAGTCTCAAATTACTGGACCGTTTTGGACCGCAAAAATATTCGACTATATAAGTGAAATTTTAACTAAAAAAAGTAGTTCAAATACGCCGTCATTTGAAATTATTTTATTCGACATAACTTACATGCAAAATAGTGTTGTAATAACTCATTTGAAAGATAATACTTGATTTTATTAAATTATGCAATAAAAAAAGTAGCTTTAAAATTGCATGCTTATTTGTAACACAAAAAATTTGAAAAAATCTTTTTTTAAAAAAAAAGTTTTTTATTCTACAGCTTAGAAGCATACGTCATGATAATTAATACGTCATAATCATGATAAAACAAATGCCCGTCGGGCAGCATGATAATTATACAAAAATACATTTTTTAAAAGCTGAATGTTTTAGCTATAAAATGGTATATAATAATGTAGTTTTTGAAAATCTATTTTTTTTTTTTTTTACTTTTGTTCACCACTGTCTTTAAATCACCAAAAAATTTACCACATTTCTAAAAAATATAAACCTCCTTTTCTGATAAATTTTTCTCCATGTGCGTACAAACCGAGTTTTTATTTGTTGGATTTTTTTTTTTCAAAATTAATAATATGGGCCATTTTGATAAGTGTGCTTGTAAAAGAATTTCTTTGTGATTCATAAAATATTATTTTTTATGACCTCTACAATATTTTTACAATTGAAAATAACTTATTTTTTTATCGTTAGAGTTTAATAATTTTATGAAGATCGTTTATTGTTTTCCTATTTTTTTTTGGCCTGATCTATGAGTACATTCAATAATTATTTCGCTGGTAATTTTTAGTTTCTGCGAAAAGATTTCATTCACTATTCTTTCACAAGCATTTCAAGTTTCACCAGTCAATTAGTTTACACTTCCAATTCTCAAAGTATTCTTCCGTGATGGATTTTCGAGGTCAATTAATTTCTTATTTAAAGCGTTTCTGTATGTTGTGATATTTTCTTTTCATTTTTTTTTCGTTTGTTTATATTTGAAACCTTTTTCTTTATCATCTTTTTAAATAAGTTTTAACTTTCATTTTTTTTTAAACCTTTTTTGATGTTTTATATTTTTGTTTTGTTGATGGTATTTAAAATAATGTTTTTCTGTTCCTGCAACATTTTTAAAATTATTTCTTTATTATTTTTATTTGCTACATCCATATAATTTTATATAAATATACTTGATATTAATAATAAGAAGTAATTTTAATTAGATTTTAAATTTTTTTTTTCTATTACAAGAGTGCGATTTGGTTCAGGTGTAAATGGTACTGTAGTTAGTGAGTATTTTTGAGTAGGTCCATTCAATTATTCAATAAATTTTAATATTCATATACTCTTTGCAGTCGCACTTGATCCAAAACCAAATATGATAAAGTAGGGACATAGAAGAAATATATAGAAGAAATTGAAAGAATGTACGAGCATTTGAAAACAATTGAATACCTAACACCGAAGTACCAGAAGCACAACCTAGCGTTATTATTAGAAGAATATATCAAAATATTTAAAATGCCGATATTCTATGTCCTATAATTTCTGAGTTTAATAATGCTCAGCAGCCTCTTGATGCAGAGATACCACAGTATAGAGCAGAAAGAAAATTGAAAAGAATTGTTGGAAGGATCTAATGGCGAACCAATTTCGTGTAACCCATAATAATGGTGGTTCCAAAAGCTATTCGCTTTCCCATACTTGCTCATATGGCAAAGAAGATATTATGTATTCCGGGAACATTAGCTCTAATTGAACACTTATTCTCCGTAGTAGGTAACACCATTGCAAATGATCGAACAAGATTATTACTTGAAAACGTTGATGATTTAATTTTTTTACTCGATACATGGCCGAAATATGAATAATTGTAACGAGTTATTTAAACCAGATAATATAAACATATTATATTTGCATTTATCAATAATATATATATAGAATATGGCGCTGCATGCAGTGGCATAGCAAGGGTGGTAAGCGCACATGGCCAAAATATCTACAAAGACCCCGTTTTATAATTTTTATAACAATTATACCCTTTCATATTAAATAAGGTTTTTTTTTTGGTTCCCTTTAAACCACTTGCTTGTTGAAAAGCCCTCTTGACTACTTCCTCGATACGTAACTAGCTGCATGTCCTATAGGGTATGACTTATAATACTTTATTTTAACTAATTAAAATTATACATAAATTTTATAATCAGAAAATAACTTTTTAATTAATACTCTCACAAGCTTCTATTATAAGGTAATTAAGCTGATCGCTAAAAATCAGCAATCACTAATAAGACTAATAATATTCAAACAAAATTTATCTATGATTTTTGAGGTTGCAATAAAAATCCCCCCCCCCCCTCCTTTTTGTTGGATTAACCAGATTATTCTAAAAATGTTTTAAGTAGAATTTTAATAAATAAAATAAGAGCCAATAAAAGATAAATACAAATATATAATACAAAATATGCAAGCAAAATATACAATATATAGAAAAATGTACAAATTTTAAGCTAATAAGATGTAACTTTTTTTTAAAAAATTTTTAAAAATCAAATTATCAAATCTGATAAGAAAAAAAATTGTTTTATCACACAGATGAGTTTTTTATGTCAAAAAATGTTTAGGATATCTGAGAATTAAAATTGTTACTTTTTGTAAAAAATTTTCAAACAATTCAAAATAATTTGACGGAAAAATAAAAGCATAATCAGTAAACTTGATTTTTAAAAGTTTATGACGAATTTTTATTCTGTATAAATTAACATCTAAAACAAGGGATTGTTTTGAGTTACTTTTTGCACCCTGAAAAAACTGACTGGTCCTAGTATTATACAATTTTTTTAAAAAAAAATTGGTCATCCTGAATCTTAAATGATAAAATTAAAAAAAAAGAATTTGAAAGATTGTTTTGTATTTAACACTCAATTTAAATATTCAAGACTTGAAAGTTAATAAAAAGAAAAAAAACGAGTTTTAAAACAAAGTTTTAATCAAAATTGAAATATTCGAATTTGGTCCAAATTATTATTTTAAAATCCATATCAAAGTATGTCTTGTTTAATACCCATTTGACATAACTTTAAAAAAATCATTTTACAATTAATATTGTAAAAAAAAAACAATACCAAGGTAATAACCCATCAATTTATATCCTTTGCAGGCTGAAAAAAATAACTGAAAAAATAATTTTCCTAACATTAAATTTCTTTGTTTTAGATGTTACAAAAACAATTTGCCATTATGTCCTTTCATAAAAATAAAAAAAAAATACAGTAAAAATCAACACTATCTAATGAACTAAATAGAACTCAAATCAGCTACAACTTTGGCAAAAAATAACCAGAATATTTTTTATAAGTTTAAATATCATTTAAAAATTGTAAAAACAAATTACACTACCTATTCTCAGTATAATTGTTGAAACGTCGTAAAATTCGTTCAATTTCATAAATAGAAACAAGTAACTCAAAGAAAATATTTGATGCAGACAGTTCTCCAGCTTCAATCATATTTAAAGTTTCAATAATGCAGAAAACTATCTTTTTGTTTTCCCTAAAACGCCCATAGAACGGAAAACATAACACGCCACAACTTTGACAAGTAACAATATCCTTCCACTTTAAATTGGAATTTCCTTTGCTAATTCCAGCTTTTCTGACTGATTTTTGAGTTATTTCTATAAGTTCTTTAAATTTAAAAAGTTTTTCTCTAAACATATCAGAAACATATCCTGGTATATTATTTTTGAGATTATCTTTTAAAAAACTCAGTAAAACTTTGATTGGCAAACAGTTACTTAAACTTGGCTCCCATGTGCAGAAGTATTTTGATGTAAACCAAGAATCTGTTGCAAAGTTAACTATTTCAGATGAGCAATAGCCCGTAGATACAGTTAAAAAATAACAACCACCACTAACAACTACATATTGACCAGCTTTTTGTAAACAACGCACTATTGGAATGCCTTTTAAAATTAATTCTGAAGGTTCCAACAAACAACCATTCATTTTAAACAAAATTTCTTCAAAATGAGATGTGTAATTAACCGGAACAACATACCATATCTTATCAGAACCGAAATGAATATACGAAAGAGTGTTAAAATGATTGGATTGTAAAGTCCATTTTGAAGTTGAAAATAAACTCTCATAAAGCAATCGTGGAACAGTTAAATCTAAAAGTTAAAATAAAAACTAGATAATACAAAACTTATAAAAAATTATTTAAAACTAGCCACTGTAGAACATGCTATGACTAGACTAGTTGTAAACCTTTAATCTTTCCAACATGTTTTAATATAGAGTCCTTTGCAGAATACATTTCCTGAAGATTTAATGTAGTATTTGATGAAACATCTCTTGATAATGGAACTTGTGTGGAACATATACTTGCAGAAAGTGCTGCTATATGCCTAAAACATAAATATGCAATCAAATAGACCAAAGAAGTATTTCCATTTTTTAAATGCAATTATAATTGTTGAGCTCTTATAGGAACATTTTCTATATGAATTACTTTTTTTAAAAAATATTCTATAAGAAACAATTCAAAAAACATTTTAAAAAAAACAAATTGTTAACTATTTTTAATTCTTGTCAGATAAAATTTAATAAAACTTAATACCTACCTATTTCCATCAGAAACATGCTTCCAAAACAGAGTTTCTATGTCCTCAGAACTTGATTCATTACACAAATACATGCTTTTAATATTAGTAGCAACTCTTTGAAAATTGTTCACAGAGATTGACTTCTTATTTTCAATTTCATTTGGTAAATTTATAAAAAACTGTGTATCTGCTGAAACAATTTCACAAAACTTTAGCTTTTCAGAACTAGGTAGCACTGTAAATGGGAGAACATACTTTAAATAAACATCTTCTAATTTTGAAATTCTTTTTCCAACATTTTTAGGAATATTCAAGTGATCTGCTATTGATTTCCAGTGAAGATTACTAGCAGTTTCCAGACCACCAAACAATTCAACAGTGTCACATAGTAATGGCAAATCTAATTCACATGATCCTATTTTTGGTATGTTACTGAATGCTATATTTTCTTTAAATAACTGCCTTTTAATACATTCAAGTTTGACACTGCTATCACAATTCATTATTTTAAGTCGATGAACATGTGTTGTCTTAGTTACAAATTTTATTTTTTCATCTGCATATGATAATGCAATTAAGTTTTCTGATGGGATTATTGAAAAAATACCTTTCGTTTCATTATCTTCCTTGTTTTGAACGAAATCAAAAAAATGGTTTAATTCGTCTATAGTTGCATAGAATACAGGTGCTTTCAGAAGCGAAACTTGATTATCACTGAAACAAAAGTCATCACTTTTTTTTTCTGGAAATTTAATGAGTCCTGGTGGTTTTTCTTGTTCTTCAAAATTATCATCCCATACACAATTTTCTTGTATTGCAAATTTCTCTAACTCTTGAGGCATTATAGGGGACCCACGCATACACAAAAAGTCTATGAAGTCTTCAACTTTTAGTAAAGTTGTATTTTGTGGTGAGGAGGAGGTAGCCTTAGGGCTTGAAGGAATGACTGATGCAAATTTACGCTGTGCATATTGAGGCAATTTTAGTTTTTTGGCAGTTGTTTTGATGTTGTCACCCTTTTTTTTTGCATTCTTCATATCTTATAATTTAGATGAATATAAAATTACAAAAATTTAGTATTCTAAAAAAAAAGAAAACCTCTTATTAAATTTAACCAAATTTTATAGCTTAATATTAGTTTTAAAAATGTTGTTTTAATTTTGCATTAAATTGGGATTAAAGATATAATAACCAAATAATAAAACCAAAACAATAACCAATAAAAAAAAAACCAAATAGTAACCAATAGCAAAAATATAATGGAATCAAAGGTATAATAAGATATAACAAAGATATAATAATAATATATATTTATTAAATAATATAACTTTTATTTTCTTTAATTTTTTCATAAAACTAATTGCATGTAAGATCAAAGGTACTTTTACTTTCATTACAACAGTCTCAATTGTAAAAACTGTTTTAAATGGCATTTTTCTTCAGACCAAAATTGGCTGACTAAGATAAAAAAATATTTACACCTTGCATTAGTTAATTTTACAGTAGATACAAATGCAACAAGCATTTCCAGCTGCTAAAGCTTTATTACTACATTGGCATTGTTTGTATTTTAAAAAAGGTTTTCCATATAAAATTATAGAAACAGATCCAGCCTTTTAAAATAATACTCATACCAGTTTTAATGAAACAATAAGAATAAAAATTCTTATTATAAATTATAAAAGGAATAGGTAATGATTTGGATACATTAGGTAAATAAACCAACTTGATTACAACATGTTTACATGATTGTCAGGTAAATAAACTAACTTGATTACAACATGTTATCATGACTGAGATATAGATTCATTAAACTTAAATTTGTTTGTATCCTTGTACTAATCTAGTCAAAAAAAAAGTTACATTCAAGACACTTTAATTCATGAATATGTTTGGTAAATAAAATCACCTCCTCAACCATGTAACTGTTTAAAAAGATCTGCAGCATGAAACTCAGAGTTGCAATATTATATTATAAACATTAGCTTTCAGCTAAATCCTGGTAATAGTTAGAATTAAAAGATCTATTGGAAGAAGTTTATCTTGCAACTTATGTGATATCATTACTCGAGGAAATCAACTATAAGAATTATCTAAATCTCTCAACTTGATTGTTTATTATAGGTTGAGTATAGATTGATAATTGATTGAAATAATATAAGCTGTTGTATTATAGTACCACTATAAAATCTATAATGAAGGGTTTACTTATTAATGGTGCATACCAACAAGTAAGTGTGAGAGGAAGCGATTTTAAGATTTTTCCGGCAACCAAACAAATCATCAAACGTCTTAAGGTAATTTTTATTTGAATATCAGTCAGTTTAAGTTTTAAAAGATAAGTTTTAAAACATAAAAACATATGTTTAAAGACATAAAAACCACAGAGCACTATTTTTTTAAAAGCGCAGTAACACTAGAGTGGAGAGATTTTAAATTCAATTTGCGCGAGCTGCGATGGGGCGACTGAATAAGCGCGAATTTCATAAGTGCGAAATGGAATGGCGTTAGTGCGAATTTTTTATCAGTGTGAACTGGCATAAAAGCGAAATGGCATAAGTGCAAAGCAGTTGCAAAAACTGGCACAAGTGCAAACTGGCATAAGTGCGAGTTGCCATAAGTGCGCCGAACAAATTTGAAAACATTGGCATAAGTGCGAATTGGCATAAGTGCGAATTGGCATAAGTGCGAAGCACTTACAAAAACTGGAATAAGCGCAAACTGGTATAAATGCGATGTTGAATGAATTAACATCTAATTTCAGTGGCAATAGATGATCTAGGTAATGATGTTGACGTGCTTGCGGGTTTTCAGACCAAAAAGAAGTCTGTTATAATTTGTCATATCATCTGTTATTTTAAGAAATATGAAAAACGTGGTGTTTACGGAAATAGTGTATTATTTTAAATAGCTTTATTTAAAATGTCATTGTGTTAGTGTTATTTAAATTTTAAAGCGTTGTAATACGATTTAAGGACACTAGTACAATCAAAAAGAAACCAAGATGTGGAAATAAAAAGTTTTTTGTTCCATGAGATCTTCTAAAAAGAGAGAAATATGCCTTAGAAAAAAAATCTGGAAGTTTATGTTTAAACTTTTGCAAATAAATATAATACAAGTGCTTCTACTGTACAAAGAGTTAAATTTCAACTATAAATCTTATTAAAAGAAAAAAGTTCCTCGTCGTAAAGAAAAGCAAGAGAATGTTTTAATTTATCGTTTAAAGGTGCTCTATAAAACATTTTGTGCTAAAAAACATTGTTTGATTATTTATGATGAAACATATTGTGCTGCATATTTCCAACCTCTTTGGGACAATATTTTTTTAGCAATTAATCGCAAGGAACCGAATTTCAAACATAAATGCATTTGGAAAATTTTGCTGATTAATTCTTAGTTTAGCAAGCAGTTTGTAAATGTGGTGAATAAAGCTTTTTTTTTTTTTGCTTTTTAGAGTAGATTTCATTGAAAAATAATGCAGTCCACTAAACTATCCCGAATTAAGCCCTATCGAAAGATATTGTGCTTTTTTCAAATGAAAACTAAGGTTCAATGTAAATAAAGCTAAAAAACATCCAAAATTTCAAAATAAATGAATGAGAGCTACCAAGAAAGTACAGCCAAAGACTGCGCAAAAGCTGATGTGGAGTGTAAAACGCAAAGTGCGTGCGTTCTCACGTATACAACTACACAAACTTACTTAGATAAAATCGAAAAGTATTAATATATGCAATTTTAAAAGATTAAATTTAACACTTAGTACCGAAATTGAATAGATAGTAGACATTTGTGTGCATCGTAATATTAAATTTTCACTGTTGTAATAGCTAAAGTTACTGAAAATCTCCTAAATACTTTGTTTTTTGCAAATATTTTTGATAATCTTTTCAGAAATTTTCCTTACTTGGTTGATGTTTTGGAAAGCGAAAATTTCACTCCTTACATTATTTGTAAAAACAGGTTCATGCAAAAATGATGGATCCAATATAATTGGTGGAATCATCACTTGTTAGCCATAATTGGATTCTTAAGTTATTGATACAACAATTACATTATCTAATATTATTACTCATAGTTGCGTACCATTGCAAAATCATTCCTTTGCTGACATATTTCTGAGCATTATAACAATGCAATCTTACTTTAGAGTTATTCGATAATGTGGTTTACCAGGCTAATTTTATTTGGAAGCTATACATTCTTTAGGTAATACTACTACTACAGTAGGTAGTTTGTAACTATTTAATAACTTTCCCATTATTTAATACCCAGTTACGAATTCAGATTCTCCAACATTCGCGCTCTTATTTTTTGCAAACATTAAAGTTTCAAAATATTTACATACTTGCAAGTATTTCAAAGTACATTTCATAATTTTGTAAGGTTTTTATACTATATTTCATCACTGACATACACTGTTTCCAATTACTACACTTTTTCCACAAAAAAACAGAGTTCCAAAATTAGGATTAACAGCGGTCATAAATTTTTCATTTATTTATCCATAGAACTCAAGGAATAAGCACCACATTGGTCCTTTATCTTTAAAAAATGTCTCCCTTTCCATGAATTGTTTCGCTTCTTTTGTTTCTGATCTTATTCCAGATGTAGAACATTTAGCTAAAGGTGCAAGAGGTTTCAAGGTTGATAAAATTGTGAATTTGTGACCAGTAAATGCCATATATCTTAATTTCTTAGTTATGCCTTGATGATACGCATGATACCAATAATACAAATAGGATTTTCCACAACCTCCTGGATAATCAGTATACTTGCATGGAAACTTTGTTGTAGTTGGATTAAAAAATGATTCTATGCAGAATTCTAAGATAATCTTTTGACCGCTATTTAAATATTAGCACATATCTGTATATTGTTGTTGTTTCCTATCAACATCATATACGATGAAAATGATGACTGCTATAAAAGTAATCATTTTTTTCAAAAATAACATTTTCCATTTATGACAAGTCAAACGATTCATATTTCTGATTATGAAGTACTTCATTTATTTCATGCAATGCTATTTTTGATCTATTGAAGGATTAATCATTTTATTTAAAAAATCTTCAATTAAACTTTTTTTATGCTTATCTCAAAGTTCCATAGGATTTTTTGGCATATTAAAAGAAAATAATGTACCACAAATTCTCCTTAACTGATATGAGTTTTTCATGACAACTGCTTTTGTAATTACTTTATCCCATTCAATAAAATCATCCAAAAGATTTAGCATTCTACTAACTTATAAAATGTTTGTAGAATGCTAAATTTTTAAAAGTTGAAGGTCATTTATGTAAACTGTTTCATTATAAATGACTTTCAAATTTTAAAAGATTTTCAAAGTATTAAGCTAAACGTACATTACTTTATAGCATCCTTGTATAATATTTTTCTTTTTGATTTAGACTAACGCTATACATTCTTCGAACAACTTTCTCTATATTTTTCAAATGTTTACTCCAACCTTTAACTTTTTTTTAAAAACGTTTAATGTTTTGGCATTTCAAGATAGGTAAATTGTCATGTCTCAGGATCTTCACTGTTTCATTTAAACCACACAGTGAATGTGAAATCTTTAAAACGCGTTGTCGATTTTTTTTGTTCCCATAACCTTCATTTTTTTTTTGTAACTTTCATCGCGGCCGTACAGGATCCAATTGCCATATTCAAAATTTAGTTCATCAAGATGTTTAAAAATTTTGAAGCTAAATTGGCCTCGTTTACTTTTGATTTAAAGAACTATGATGCTAGTACTACTGGTGGAGCTGCTGGTGGAAACCTACTACTGGTGGATACTACTGCTGTAATGAAACGATTTGAAAAACTTTCACAGATTTAATTATGCATGTATGTATGCATAATTAATTCAAGTAGTCGTACTTAGAGTTTTATTAAAAAAAAAAAAAAAAAAAAACGGTTTTACTAGGAAGCAAGAGAATGAACATAACCCAATGCCACACTGACAAAATTTATTTTAATTCTAATGAGGAAACTAAATTTGATATAGGAATTAATGTTACAACTGATATATTATTTGTAAAATTCAATAAAATATGGCTATTTATGCTTTGATAGAAAAAATTAGAAATCCTAAAAAATATTTTAAAAATTTTTTCCACTTAAAATGATTTTATTTTACTAAAAAATGTAAAAGACATGCTTGAAAAAGAAGTGTATTTTATTTAGATTCAATAAATAAAATACACTTCTGGTTTTAGAATCTCAATTTTAGATTCTAAAACCAGGTGGAGCAGTTTTCTAGGTATGCTAGTACAACTTTACAAGTTGCGTGATTGTGTCCAAATAAGAAAACTTCAACTTTTTATTTGCATAAATAAATTTATTACTGCTATTATCGGCACATTGCAATTGTCGCAAGAATAAAAACAGAATTATAATAGTTTAAAGAACAACATTCTAGAGAAATCTTGAACAATTTGAATCAGAAAGAGTTTTTTCCGCCTCTGGCATAATTTGTACCAAAATAAAGTTTAGTTTGGATAATAAATCGCTAACTTATGTTTTTCAAGATTGTATTTTGTTAACTTGATTAAATAATTGACAACAGCTAAAAAATTGTGCTTTTTTTAACTTTGTTTATTAAAACAGTTTTTATTAAACACAGATTTTGATTTATTTTATTATAAGTCTTTCTTTTAAAATAGATCAGATATATTAATTATAAATAAAAACAAGGTAACTTTTCCTTGTAATCATTAAAAAAAAAAGTTAAAAATTTATTGACAATAACCATTATCACAAATCACATTTTTTCGCTTTTTATTTTTTGTGTGTATATATTTATACTCATGTATGAGTATATTGTACTTGTTTAATGTGTATGTGTATGTGTGTATATGTATATGTATATATATATATATATATATATATATATATATATATATATATATATATATATATATATATATATATATATATATATATATATATATATATATATATATATATATATATATATATATATATATATATATATATATATATATATATATATAATATATATATATATATATATATATATATATATATATATATATATATATATATATATATATATATATATATATATATATATATATATATATATATATATATATATATATATATATATATATATATATATATATATATATATATATATATATATATATATATATATATATATATATATATATATATATATATATATATATATATATATATGTATATGTATATGTATATGTATGTATATATATATGTGTATGTATATGTAGGGGAAAGCGGGGCAACATGGCGAATAAGGCAAGATGGGTTTTCATATAACAACTCAGCAAAAAATCTTAGAATTGGGTGAAAACAAAACTGTATTTGCATCTTGTATTTTAAAACACTAATTGGCATTTTGAAATATTATTAACGCAATTTTATACACCTAAGTTTACTTTTAGCGCCTAAAAAAAAATTCCTCACTTTCGGTTTCTCATAATGGATGGTGCCCTTCAAGTTTAACTTCTTTAGAAGTAGTTTTTTGCAATTTGTGTTTATTTTTTGTTACTTTAGTTAGAGTTATTGGTAGTTTTAAAAATTTTTATAAAATTGGAGGTAAAAATTGTATAATAAGTCATCTTGCCCCGGTCACGTGACCAGACGACAAATTTATGAACTTTTTATTTTAATATTTATTTCAAATTGTTATATTTGCAAACTGAAAATTCATGCAGGCAATGAAAGAATATAATAACATTAAAATACTGAGAAAGTATTATGGCTTCACGACTTATAGTTTTGCAACAACTCAGGGCTTTCAAAACTTCGCCATGTTGCCCCGTTTTCCCCTATATATTTGTATATATATATATATATATATATATATATATATATATATATATATATATATATATATATATATATATATATATATATATATATATATATATATATATATATATATATATATATATATATATATATATATATATATATATATATATATATATATATATATATATAGATATAGATATAGATATATGTATGTGTGTATGTGTATATATATATGTACATGTGTATATGTGTATGTGCGTATGTGTGTGTGTATGAATACACACAAACACACATATATATATATGTATTTATATATGTGTGTTTGTGTGTATTCATATATATGGGTATATGTTTGCTTATATGTGTAAGTATGCGAATGTGTATATAAGTTTATATATATTCATTTTTACTTTTATTTTGTCTATTTATGATATTATGTATTAAACGAAATCTTATTTTATTTTTTGAATTCTTGTAAACATTTATTCAATTTTTCTTATACACTATATATTCTTCAATAACTTTGTAAAAAATTATAAATTGTAACACGATGCTCGACGATAAGACAAATTAATGCCTTCTTCTTGCTCCGGCCATTAACTTAATTGTAAATTTTTGTAAACTGTAATACTTATTAAACGGCAAAAATAAAATGTTAAAAAAAAAACCCCGGTATTACCGTTGTTGGAAAAAAGTAGTTGGGGTTTATATATATATCTACTATAACATACTTATGTAACAAATTGTTACCATATTTTTGTTACATTAGTTAAATATGAGTTTTGAGAAAAAGAAGAAAAAAACGAAGTTTTAATAAAGAATAATGAAAGAAAAGATATGAAATAAAAAATATTAATGAAAGAAAAGATTGCTGCCCCATGCCTTACCCTCAGTCAATGTAGCAGCACTCCGCGGGGAGTCAGTCTACATGTCAGTCGATGTATGTGCTGAAGCCCCTGGCAGCAAGCTATTTCAGTATGACGTCAGACTGCTCACCTAAACCAGCAGTATAAGATATACAGGTATTTGTAAAATGCAATATTTTGCATACCCTATTTATGGTCTTTTTAAAGTGACCCGTTCAATTAATAACAATATATAAGGATAGCAAAATCATAAGCATTCTTTGATATATTTTCCAGTATAGTAAATTAAATAGCATAAAATAAATATATTTATAACTTCAATTTAGAAACTTTTACTCGCTTCATGCCTACTGTGCCGTGATAAATATTTTAAAATGGGTTTATCTTATAAATTAAAACTAAATATGAAATCAAATCAACCCAAAAGAGTAGTAATTATTTTTTTTCGATGTTGATGCTGTAATTTTTTATCATTGTGTTAGCTGCGTCGATTTCGTTGCAAAAACTTAACTCAGTTAACGCAAAAACGACTGATACGATGGAATGCAACGCAAAACGATTGAGAGCGGTTTATTCCATATTTGCTTGAAAGTTCGCATAAATTATATAAACAGCAGGTTTGAACTACCAATTCACTCAAACAGCATGTTCAAAGATTCAAACTGCAGAAAATATTGCAAACCAATCCTTTTATGATTCAAAAAACTACAAACGCTTTTCTCACAAATAAGTAATTTTGGATGTTTTAGCAAAAAAATTTGTTTAATTACTACGTGTTGGTTACTATTTTCAATATTTATTTTTTAATTTTAGTTTATAGTAAAAAAAAATCATAAAATGAATAATGAGTATATCTCCATCTTCTAATTACATATGGCTTAGTCTTATGAGATGATATATGCACGTATGGAGTTATGAGGTAGCATGTATAGTATTTTTTCAAATATTATTAATAACTAAAAATAAAATAAGCAAAAAAAGAAAAGAAAAGAAATACAAATTGATTTATCAAAAAAATTTAACCAAATGACTAACTTAAACATGTTTTATGAGGGAAAATCCAGAAATAATAATTTAGATCCTATTATCGAAATGCTGGAAAATGAACATACGGCAAACGAAGTTAAAGAAATTATAGATATTAATGTTGCTGGACAACTATTTCAGACGTACCGAACTACACTTGAACGATATCCGGATACTTTACTTGGAGATCCAAAAAAGCGACAACATTTTAAAAATCCAAAAACAAAAGAACTATTTTTTGACAGACATAGAGAATCGTTTCAATGTATTTTGTATTATTATCAATCGGGGGGAGTAATGGAAAAATCACCTGGCATACCTATTGATATTTTTGTGAACGAACTAATTTTCTACGAGTTAGACAGTAAATTAATAGAAAAAATGCAGCTTGATAATGGTTTAAAAGAAATAGATACGAAAGAAAATTTACCATTATTTAAACCGTTTCGCATTTTATGGGAATTTTTTGAATACCCAGAGTCAAGTAAGGCGGCAAAAATGTTCGCAATAGCTTCGCTATTTGTAATTGTTTATTCATTAATTCTATTTGTAATAGAAACTCTACCAAGTTTCCAGCCACAAGTAGTTATTATATCTGATAATTCAACGATGACGATACCAAGTGTCAATGCAGTATGGACAAAATATTCTAATACGGCAGTAATTGTCTGGTTTACAATTGAATTTTTAATCCGGTTGATTTCTTGTCCTAACAAACTAATGTTTTTTCTAAATGGTGGTAACATCATTGATTTCTTATCAATATTACCATTCTACTTGAGTTTGATTATTTCTTCAAACAGAACGGAAACTTCGATACTTCGTGTAATGCGAGTGTTTCGCGTTTTTAAACTAGCCCGGCATTCCCGAGGGCTTCAAATACTCGGCAACACGCTTAAAGCTTCTTTTAATGAACTAATGATGCTTGTTTTTTTCTTGTTTGTAATGATATTGTTTTTTGGAAGCCTTATATATTATGCAGAAAAAGATGTTTCTGGCACAACATTTACGTCGATACCAGACTCCTTTTGGTGGTGTATTGTCACAATGGCTACCGTAGGGTATGGGGATATGGTGCCAATAACTTTTTGGGGTAAATTGATAGGCTCGGTGACAATTATTTTTGGATTGCTTTTGGTTGCTTTGCCAGTCCCTATAATTGTTTCCAATTTCGAGTTTTATTATAAAAAAGATCAAAACAGAAAAAAAGTAGAAAAAGAAAAAATTGTAAAAGAAAAGGAGAAAAATCGCTACTTTAAGACTTATTATCGCTTTCTTCTAAACAGAGACTTTACTAAAAATATAAAAAAAGCTCACATCAGAAGATATTCAATGTCTCAAAACCCTGATGGTTTATCAACTAAACTTGACGAGTCCCCAAATTTAAATGAGAATTGTCTCTCAAGAAACAACATATCCTATGCTGAAGAAAAATAAAATTTATTTGTCGTAGATAATTGCTCTTTATAATTTATGCGGATGAAACTATTTTTATATTAGAAATTAAATATCGTTATTTGACTTATAAATATAAAAATGATTTAGTTAAACATATAACAATTTTCACCGTAAGTGGACTTAATATTTTTTTAAAAATTATCTTTTCTTGCGTAGCAAAAAAAAGTGTAACGTTTTATTTGTTCCCCCGGTTCAAAGTGGTGTTTCTTGATTTGCTAAAATAATCATTATAAGATTATGTGTATAAACATAAGTTTATTTGTTTATTACAAATTTGAGACACAAACAAGTTTATTAGTTACAAACAAATTAGTAAAACACAAACAAGTTGAGACGCAAGCACGTTTATTAGTAACAAACAAATTAATGAAACGCAAATAAGTTGAGACGCAAAAAAATTTAGACACAAACATACAAAATACGTAGAAGTTGAAGAACAACACACACACACACATACACACACACACACACACACACACACACACACACACACACACACATAATGTTTTGCCTGGAGCAAAACATTATTGCGAGGCCTTTTTTAAAGTCATCATTTTAGGCGCTTTGACGAAGAAAAACTTTTTCTCTCATTATCTGAAAAGAGGTTGTATAAGTACAAAAAAAAAATTTTGGGTTGGTATAATTTTAAGTAGTTATTTTTGTGTAGGTTTATAAAAAAGATTGATTGCTTTATAAAATAATCTAAAATAATAACAATAAAGTTTATTCTTAAATTTATTAAAGGCCAAATAATGTTAAATAAATAATTTGCACATTTTATGTTTTCATAAAATGTGAATCATAATAGATCGATCGCTATTGAAGGGTACTCATATATAGGTACTCATATATGAAGGGTACTCATATATAGGTAGATTTTATATAATAAGTGTTCACACTGTAAAATAATAGACAATAACTTTAAAATAGAATACTGGCAAATATTTATAATATAATAATACAGTGTTATTAATACTATAAAAACAATTTCTAGGGTTAAATAATTTTTAAAATTGCTTCAAAAGGATGAAAACTTAGATATCGCAATTAATAGCCTTTCTTGACCGATGGATAAACTTAATTATGTCTTGATAAGTTTCAAGTGTAAAAACCTCCTTCTGATCTTGCCACAGTTACAGATATAGTCAGTAAAATTCTATAAGTTATAAATGCATTCGGAAATGGGTTTTAAATTTAATGAATAAATCTCAAAATCCTTGCAGCTGTTTCCACCTCAGCTAGTAGAAGTTTTCGAAGAACCTTAAGTTCAGAAAAAAGGTCATTTCCACAAACAATCTTTTCTTCTTTAAAACTTTGGAACAATTCTAGGTCTTTACACCTTTGAAATAATTTTTTTTACTATTTTTTTTTTTTTTTTACATGATACAAAAATCTAAACATAGTATCGTAATTAGTTATTTGTTCAAACTTTCTGCAATAACAAAAAACCCCGTACTCAAACATTCTTTTTTTTTTTTTTATCTGCCTGGCTTCTTTGAAATTTGGCTCTAGACCAAGAGTTTCACTAAGTTCTCTTACTAATAATTTTGCCGGCACAAAACCTAAATCTAAATTTCTGAAAAAAACTGAACTAGGCTTTAATGCAACTGCGACGCAACTCCAAGGCTTTAAAGCAACTGTTGACTCCAAGATGCATTTTTTGAGTCTGAAGGCTTTTTTTTCAAAACTTATTTCATTCATAACTGATGGTGTTTCATTATTGTTTGTTTTTTTTGGATTCTAAGTGAACTCAACTAGTTCAACTAATGCAGTATAAACTTCCTTAATTTGATATCGAGGCGCTTTTATCCTTTACTTTCCTAACGAGTGTCACAGGACCTTTTTACAGCCAGATTTAGTAAGTGTTAAATGAAAATTGGCCAATGCATTTTTGATAACAAAAAAGTACATAAATTCCTTGCACAACACCAAAAAACGTCATAGATTTAGATAATCATTTTGCTGTGTCTCAAATTAGGAAGTTGAGGCTATGGCTAGCGCAGGGCATGTAAAATGCTTTTAGATTTTTTTCTAAGATCCGTGCCTGTACTCAAGAGTGAATACTTTTTGATTGGAACCATTGTCATACCATTGTCCTCTTCAGTCCCTGATTTGCAATCCAATTTCATCTAACTCTTGTAAAAGAACATCAGTTAGATTTTTTCCCGTTGTTGGTTTAACGTCTAAGAATCCAAGGAAATGTTCTTCGATACTTACATCTTCATTTTCACAATTAAGATCAGTTTTTTTTTCTTTTTTAGTTTTGAAAAACAAAATGAAATTTTTGCCTCATCATTTAATTTTTTTTTAATTTTACACTCTTAAAAAAGTATTTTATAGCCGTTAAACAGAAAAGCTTTAATAGCTTCGAACACGGCCTTCTATAATAACTGATTAAATTATTATAGAATTATTGTAGAAGGCCGTGGCTTCGAGCAATGATTTGCATTTTTTTGTTCATTGTTATCGCATATGAAGGAGAATCATTTTGATATTAAATAATAATTTAAAAAAAAAATTTAATTAATAAATAATTGCGCGGGTAAATAGATATTTGGCACGCATATTATTGTTATATTATTTTCATTTAACCAAAACTTTTTCTTATTTTTTTTTAACAACAGTAACGCCTTTTATTTTTTAACAAGAGTAAGACGTTGCTGCGCGAAGCTTTACTCTCGTTAACAATAAGTAAAAGTTTTGATTGCTCATGTTTAGAATGGCCTTGCTGCGCGAGGCCTTCCTAACCGCGAGAGCTGGAGCGGCTGCTCCACTCGCACCACCCTAAGGACGGCTCTGTATATATATATATATATATATATATATATATATATATATATATATATATATATATATATATATATATATATATATATATATAAGGAAAAAAAATGTAAAAAAATAAATAAACTTGGTTTTAATGTCACATTCTTTAAAACTATACTAACGACAAGTAAAATACAAATAATTCTAATTTTCGCAATATGAAGGTCAGATCTTAACAAAAATATAATACCTTAGAAAAAATATTCGTATTTTAATTAATTTTCATATTTTTTCACGCTGTGTATCTGTTTTGGAATATCAATTCTATCACTCAAATATTTCTTAAATTGTAAGCAATTCATATTATAATTACATCTCAGAAACAAAAGTGATTTAATCGTTTTGACTTTCAGTTGAGTTTTTTCAGGTGACCAAATACTATTTAATATGGAAAAAACTCTTTCTTTTGATGCATTAGACACTGGTAAACTCATGGCAAACTCAACAAATATCTTGCTATTGTTCTTGGATTTTACTAGCGTTCACATAACTTTTAAGACAAGAAAATTCATCGAACAATTCCGTATCCTCCAGTTGAAGGTTTGTTCTTTTTTCCATAATAATACTAATACTACCTTCTACCTTTGACCATTTCATCTCTTTGAACTTTTCAATGCGCACTGTATATATGCAAAAAAAAAAGAATAAATCTTAACAACTACGTTTTCTACATCAATGGGAAAGTATTCTGCTTTGAATACAATTATTAAATATATATTTAATAATTGTATTCAAAGTGCGGCACAATATACTCCAATTAATTTGTTTTCATTTAATTCTTGCATTTTATTAAAAACATTGTCCTTACCGCGTCTCGCTGCACCGCCAAAATTACAATTTGTGTTATCAGCACAAAGGTCAATTACTTTATTTTTTATATTGTAAGAGGTAATAGTGTCCTTAATAAAATTTGAAATTATGTCAGAAGTTTCTCCTGGTAGTTGTTTCACTTCTAAAGTTTTCACTTGCACTTTTTCCTTTGGTGAAAAATATCTTATTAGGATTGAACACAATTTAATGTTCCCATGGTTGGAACAATCTGAATAGATTGTGGAGTAATTGAAATGTAATAAATCTTCTTTAATTTCATTTATTGAATTGGGTGCAAGTATGTAAAAGTAAGTACACATTAATACGTGCACAAGAATATTTTTCACTAAAGCAACTTTTGATTAATTTGAATGTACAATCATTCGATCAAAACGAATGATTGTGTAGAATGCTGTGGTAAACCTATGTGCCTTCTATTAAGGCATTTTTTCTGGAATCTTCATTAAAATTTTACTTTCGATCATAGATGTTAGCAGTTTGCTAGATGATTTTTATGTTTTTTTATATTAATGTGTCTTTTTATATCACTTCTTCCATCGTTTGCAATTGAAAATATTGCCATACACTTTTAGTTTTTTTTGTCAAAATGGACACTCCTTTTGCAAATCCGCATTGAACACATATTTTCTTCTTAACTTAATAGCTAAAAAATAAATATATTTAATGAAAAAATATTCAGCCAATAATAATTTCATAATCAAAATAAACAATAATAATAAATGTAATAACGAAAAATTCGATATGTTTTTATTTTATTGTAAATATCCGGGGAACTACTTCAATATTAAATAAAGTAATTCCCCTCGATTATTACTTTATTTAATATTGATTCCTCTCGGTTATTACTTATATATATATATATATATATATATATATATATATATATATATATATATATATATATATATATATATATATATATATATATATATATATATATATATATATATATATAAATACAAAACACGTAATAAAACTTATTAGTGCATTATGTACAATAGAAAACAGGTTATTAACGCGGGTTTATAAATTTATTTCTCCTAACACTATTATGCTGCCGCAACTCCAAGTATATATATAGTTATATATATAGTTTAATATATATATATATATATATATATATATATATATATATATATATATATATATATATATATATATATATATATATATATATATATATATATATATATATATATATATATATATATATATATATATATGCCCGCCCAGAGCTTTTGTGGTGCCCGGGTTCAAAAGTTTAATGGATGCCTTATCATACTTCAGGTCTTAAAATAGCAAATAAATTAATATAGTTTACTTTCATAAAAAACCTAAAATCACATTTAATTTTGGTTTGCAAAAACAAACTATGATAAAATCAATTCTTAATTGACAAACACATCTTCCGGGCCTTCTTAGCAGCAAAATTTGAAATAGCTTCTTAATAATTAACG